TATCTCATTGTGGTTTTGATTTACATTTCTCTGCGGATTAGTGATGTTGAGCACCTTTTAATGTACCCGTTGGCCATCAGTGTGTCTTCTTTGCAAAAATGTCTATTCAGTTCTTCTGCCCATTTTCTAATCAGATTGTTTATCTTTTTGCTATTGAGTTGTGAGCTCTTTATATGTTTTGGATATTAATCCATTATCAGATATATGATTTGTAAATATGTTCTACTATTCCAGAGGTTGTCTTTTCATTTCATTGATTTCCTTTGCTGTGCAGAAGTCTTTATATTTGACGTAGTCTAATTTGTTTATTTTTACTTTTGGTGTCAAGTCCAAAAATTCATCACCAAGACCAATGTCAATGTGCTTACCCCATATGTTTTCTTCTAGGAGTTTTATGGTTTGGGGTCTTACATTCAAATCTTTAATCCATTTTGAGTTGGTTTTTGTACACGGTGTACAATAGAAGACCAGCTTCATTCTTTTTCATGTGACAGTCCAGTCTTCCCATCACCATTTATTGAAGAGACTACCCTTTCCCCATTGCATATTCTTGGCTTCTCTGTCATAAATCAATTAACCATATATGTGTGGGTTTATTTCTGGGCTCTCTATTCTGTTCTATATGTCTGTTTTTATGCCAGTATCAAACTGTTTTGATTACTATAGCTTTGTAATACAGACAAATCAGGAATTGTGATGCCTCCAAGTTTTGTTCTTTCTTAAGATTGTTTTGGCTATTAGAGATCCAATAGATTCAATATGGTTTCAGAGAATTTTAGGGATTTTTTTTTCCTATTTCTGTGAAAAATGCCATCAGCATTTTGTCAGGGATTGCACTGAATCTGTAGATGGCTTTGGGTAATATGGACATTTTAACAATATTAATTCTTCCAATCTGTGAGTATGGAATATATTTCCATTTACTTTTGTCTTTTTCAATTTCTTTCATCAGTGTCTTACAGCATTCAGTGTGCAGGTCTTTTATCTCCTTTGTTAAATTTATTCCTAAGTATTTTATTCTTCTTGATGCTACTGTAAATGGGACTGTTTTCTTAATTCCTTCAACTGTTTTCTTAATTTACAGTGGGGTCAACATGGTAGGCTTTACTTGCTATACCACAACCATTAGTTTAAAAAGTCTATGACCATGCTTATTGACTAGCTCATTAAATTTCCAAATCAAGATTATAACCTGTCTGAAGTTAGCTTATCAAGATGCTTCCTGATCTTCAGGGAGGGTCCCCAAATCTCCTCAATGTATCCTTGCAGTTTCTACAGGGAGATCTCACTAACTCTTAGAATGAATGCTGAGTTCTTGACATTTAAGCATATTTTATGGCTTATCCGTATGGTCTAGTATCATCTGTGAACACTATTATTTTCTAAAGCCCTACTTCTATCCAGTAGCTCTGAATATGTTTTACGTACAATTATATTCTTACATGGATCTTACCAAAAAGTTCTTGGGGCCTTCCTAAGCAGGTTTGCATAGTTCTTTGAAGCCCAAAGAAGAAACTGGCACTTTGGTAAGTCAAGGCCTGATAGCCTGTAGGTAAATTCACTAGTTCACTGTGATGGTTACTTTTGTGTCCACTTGGAAAGTGTTTTTGGATGAGATTACCATTTACATTTGTGAACTCTGAATAAAACAGATTGCCCTCCACAATGTGACTGGGCCTCATCCAATCAGAAAACAGAACAGAAAGACAGGTCTTCCTGAGCAAGGGGGAATCCTCCGGCAGACTGCGTTTGGACTTCATCGGCACCATGGACTCTGCTAGGTCTTTCCCTGCTGGCCCACACTGCAGATTTGGACTTTCCAGCCTTTATAATCACACAAACCAATTCCTTAGAATAATCCTCTGTCTATATATCTACGCATCCCATTGATCCTGTTTCTCTGGAGAACCCTGACTAATACACCCATGTATTGTCTTGTCCAACCTGGACATCCACAGGAATAAACTATCAAGTGAATGAACTTTTCAAAGGCAAAGGAGTTTGCTCAGGACATGGAATAAGTGAGCTTGAGCCTCTGCTAAATAATTCAGCTTTTTGTCCAATTCTGAATGGACAGATAACCTAAAACTCAGTAGGGTTTCTAGTTGCCCACTCTCACTAATTAATACAATATTTAGAAGATGTACAAGAAACCTGCATCTCAGATATTTAAAAGGTCTACCAACTATTGGTACAGCCCTACTCATCTACCTAAATGACCTTTTTTAAAATTTCTCGGACTTAATCAGTTCTGGGAGTCATTGTGATAATCAACTAACAAACTAATTGAGCTTGAGGACATTCCATTCTCAAAGCGCTTAAAATCACGGGAAGTTTACGTAGTATCGGAGAATTGAATAAATTTAATGATTTGCCATCAAAAGACAAAGAGAAGCAGAGATCCTGGAATTCAATTTTTAAATTATAATTTTAACATGAAGCCTTTAACAGCCCAAAATGGTATCACCTAGCAGGAGCAGAAAGAGAGGCCCAGATGTGAGAGAGAAAAGAAAGAACAAGAAACCGAAAAGAAAACATTTAGACAAAAACAAAAACAAACAAACAAAAAAACTGTACTTTCTTGAACTTAGCTTGGAAAACTCTTATCAGAAAAAAAATTCCCATTTGTAATTGCAAGTCAGACACACATACACATATATCATCTCTTTTGTTAAGGTGACTGAATTGTCATTTGCTCTGGCACGCTGTCAAGAACACAGAAAGCTTGTGGGTGAGGAGTGCAGTAGAAGAAACCTAGACATTCTCAACGGAATATACCACATTTAAAGCCAAAGCTGTTTCTTCCCGTTAGTGACTGAAAACTTCAGAGCTAATCCTCAATCTCCTCACAAGGACGGACTACATGTTTTGAGAGAATACACCTATCTTTACTGCTTATATCATCATTTCCCAACTCAGATCATCTAAGGCATAAACAGATACAGTTTATGTGGGAAGTCATTCGCTTTTCCAAAAAAGTTCTATGATATTAAGATTCCAAACACCAAAGAGTGGTTCTTCAGCCAAGGATCATGTTGCAAAATGCCTTTAGCATTTATCTTGCAACTCTTTCATGGTGTGGTTATTGCTCTGAAAGGTTTTTAATATATATAAACAAATCTATCAATCTACTCTCGTAGGACATTTGGCTTTGTCATGCTGGGACGAGCATTTACTTTCCAAAGTTAACAGAAAATTTTTTCACATATTTTCTCAATACTTTTTGGTATGTTTTTAGGTTTAATTTCATAATTCGCTGGGATTTATTTTGGTGTATGGTGAGAAAAAGGAACCTAACTTTTTAAAGTGAATGGCCAATTGTTCTAAACACTAAACAAACCACTCTTTACCGCTATTTTGAAATGTCTCCTTTAACAAACGTGCACACTCATGTAAACACTGGGACTGCTTACATCATCAATGTGCTTCAGTGATCTACTTGTCTGTTCCTATAACAATATCAGGCTAAGTATTTTAGCTTTAAAGTACATTTTGCTATCATTATTGTCTTTTAAAATAAATCATTCTTGTGCCCCATTTGACTCTTCAGAATCAACTTGTCCAATTTCCCCTCACCTCTCAACATACCTGCCATCACACCACACACACACACACACACACACACACACACACACACACACACACAAATACTATTGTGATTCTGATGAACTATCACAGACCTATTGATTTAATGGGTAAAAATGAAGGCTGTGAATTTCCTACAACCTGTACTTATGAATGTGTAATGTTCTCAAGGTTGTTTACTGATTTTCCTCTGAGGTCTGATTATTCATCCATTTTTGTATGATGGAATATTTGAAAATAACATTTTGTTTGTTTATTAGGTTCAAAGTTGTCTGGTTATGAATGTGTCAAGAAAAATTAAATTATGTAATGCTATTATTAGTGTTAATTATGTTATTCAATTTCTTCATATTCTTACTTTATCTGTCTAACATGCCAAATTTTGGAAAAATATGTATTAGCATCACCCACCATGGGTATGGTTTTGCTAAACTTTCATTTTACTCACAAAGGTTTGGGAATGACATGTGTTTGTGCTGTGCTGTTTAATATATAAAAGATCCTGACTGTTGGAATTTCTACTGGATGATATCATGTGTCAATATAAAACACCCTCTCTTTTTTCCCCATGCAATGCACCCACACAAAAAAGAAGATAAGTTCAGAGACTGATATGGCAAAATCCTTACTTTCATTATGTTAGTACCACCTGTTAGTACTCAACTTATTCCTTTATTTTCAGCCTGTGTTAGGATTTATCTTCTAAACACCTATTTTTTGCTTTTTAATCTAAGCTGTGAAAACTTACTTCGGTTAGGAGAATTAGCCCCTTAAAATACACTATAATAATTGATAATAAATAACTTATTAAATATAAGTTATTATGACAATATGTTTAGTCTAATTGCTGATACTTATTTTTCGTGTTTATGATACATTTTTATTGTACTTTTAGCCCTCCCTATTTTTTCTATGCCTGAATTGTTTTCTTTTTTCATTTTTGTAGCCACTTATAGCACTTCACAACTCATGAAGTCTATATAGATAGATAGATAGATAGATGTTAAACTACTAAGCTCACCAGTTTTGCTCCCTCTTAATATGCAGGTCTTTAATGTCTCCTTTCTATCCCTGTCTGATTAAAAATAATCACAAAATATTCTTCATTTGGGGTAGTAGCAGTAAGTCACTCACCAATTTTGCTCCCTCTTAATATGCAGGTGAATAGGAAAGTCTTTAATTTCTCTTTTTTATCCCTGTCTGATCAAAAATAATCACAAAATATTCTTTATTTGGGGTAGTAGCAATAAGTCACTTAAGGTAAGACCACTTTGGGATTTAATAAATCTTTGTATATTAGGATCTATTATGAGCCAAGAAGAGAGAGGACAAATAACTTCATAATTAATTAGTAAGAAGTTAGTTCAATTTATCTTTCCAACATCTCTGCATCCTGCAAAAGACAAAGCTCTTACCGTTTCTTTTGGAATCTGCATCTGGCTTGGCTCTGCATTCTAGAAGAATTGAAGAAAAACATAAATACAGACTGACCAAAGCCATCTTCAACACACAGGGACACAAAGCTTTACTCTCAAGGAAAAATTGTTTGTTCTTAAAATCTACAAAATATATGGAGGGTGATTATGTTATGGCTGATATATTACTCTGTCTTGCAAACTTTCACTGATGTGGTTATATTATCTTATGTGTGTGTATGTGTGTGGGCGGGGTTGTTTAAAATTAAAAATTGTTCTAGATGTAAATTTTTATTTGCTCATTCACAGTATATCATGAATTTATTATTTGGAGGAAAACAAATCTCACGAAACTGCTTTTCTATTCCTGGCACTGTTTCTAATTTTGTTTTCTAATTTTCCCAACTAAGTCTAAATTATAAGGTATATTGTAATTTGAGAGCTAGACCAGATAATAACAGTCTGAACCACAAGCATTATACTTTACAATATTACACAGGTTATAAATGTGATTTTTTTTAATGTACTACAGAGTTGTTTTAATTAATAGATAGTTACAAGGTTGACTTATAAAAAAATAAAGGGCACCTATTGATAAAAGTATTTTGTTTTAGACACAGAATTTAAACACAGACACCCCAAACAGAGGAAAAGAGCTCTGTTAATTGGATTGAAAGATCATTTTCAATGCACTCCTTTAAGTTTTCAGAATTTTCTTTCTTTTAAACCTTGAATAGCAGCTGCAACGTGAATAAACTGACGGCCTACTGGCTCACTCCTTAATGAAAAGCTCACAAGCAATAAATTAAATAACCAAGAGGAAAAAAAAAAAAGGAGGCAGCAGAAGGGGAAAACAGAAGCCTGGAAGATCAAAATTGGACCAGAAGAACCTGAATAACCTTAAGCTGGTCTGTGCTGGCACTAACTCGGGAACGGCTGTAAGAGCAGTGTTTAAGCTTTGGCAACCTAATAATGCCAACTATCACCCAGGCTCAGATACACTGAGGAAGGACTAAAGCTTTATCGCCATCTAAAGCTTCGTGTTTTTTTAAAAATTTTTTTTAACTGCTCATTTACAATTTAATAGAGACAACTCCAGATTTAGGATCAGGTGGCATTTAAAGCACAGAATTGGATAACAGTGGGGGGAAAATGGAAAACCAAATTTAAATTGAGAAATAATGCATTAAACATTTCTAAATAGAAATAAAGAAGTTTTCATCATTTCTCAAAATCTACTTAAAACACAAGTGTTCAGTTTTCAGCCCTATCACAATCTGAAACTTCCATGAAATCATGGTAAATTGTCAGTGTGTGTGTGTAACCAAGAGATGGGATATTCCCAAGACTAAAATCTATCTGTTTTATAATAAAAGGAAATTTTTATTAACCATGACACATCCATACTTAAGGATTAGCCTAAGAGAATTAGGGCAATTGGACAAATTTGGGAACTGCGTCCCTAAAACCTACTGCGTCGCTAAAACCACTCTAGTATATACGGATTCATTATTGTTTAGATAAAGCTAAAAGCTATCTGAAAGACAGGTCAAATGTCCTAAAATGACCCAACTAGAATCTGTTTTGAAATATTTAAAATACCACTTGTACTTGAAGTAAAACAATTTTCCTACCACATCAAAACAAAAGATAAAGGTGATTCCTCCAATTATATTATTTCTACACATAAATGAAACCTACCACTTTTTACAGAAAAACATTAAGAACTATGTCAATTTAATATACAGATTTCATTCACACAAATACTATATAAATACCCCTATCTAATATTTAGATGCACTGACATATGTATAAAAAGTGAAATAAATAGTTTGCAAACAAATGCCTTTTCATTTCATTTATGTCATTCTAAATAATGTCTATGTTAGGAATTAATGGCCCTGGGGCTTATTGCAACTCAGGTCTTTTTACTTTCAATAAGAGTATTTAATTAAGGTCCTCTTTTTCATACAGCAGTAAGCAAGCATCTTTATTTGGCTTAGCTACACGTACCATGAAAACTTGAAATATGAAAATTTGTCATATGTAGTGGAGAAGATGGCAAGCTTTCAACAACAGCCTCTGAAGTGACAGTTATGGAATAATCGACATCTCTGTATTCAATCAGTCCATCTAAAAGCGTCTAGTAATAAACATTTGCTGTCCTAGAAAACGTCCCTGCAATCTGATTTTCAAATACTCTTGCACTCAACATTGTGGATATCTGTTTCCAAAAAGGAAGAAATATGAGGAAGGAATGCTTGTATTATGATAAGGCTGAAAGATACATAAAATATAGAAACTGCTTGGAAAATCTCTTAATAAACACTGGCCAGCAGGTCGCTAGCCCAGATCCCTGCCTCATGTGCATCAGAAACCTTTCATCTGCTCTGAATTTACACACCAGTTCCCTTGGGTGGAAGGCATCTTCTTGGCGAAAGACCAGAAGGCTCACGGTCCCCTCCATCTTGGTGCTTCTCAACAGGGAAACAACTTCCTCCTGGGATTTGCCTGCTAGATCAACTCCATTTACCTAAAACAGACAAAAAGTTTTCAGCTGCGATACTGGGCAAACAGCTAACAAGAGATGAGACGCACATTCTAGGGCTGATCATGTCTGCCATGGAACATGGCTCACTGCGTGTTACATTTTGCCCTGATCTGATAACCACCAGGCTGCTGGGGCTAATAAAGAAATGCAGACCAGTTACCTAGAGGTGAGGCAGGAAGCAGTCAACCCTTCAGGTCTTATCAATAAACCAAAAGCACAGCCACTAGTGCGTTAACAAGTAACCAGAGATACAAATATATCTACAACGCCAAGTTAACACAAAACTTCCTGGCTTTGAACTGGGATATCTTGATGCCCTTGTGCATCACAGATTTCCTTACACCAAAATAAAAAGATGCCACCCTTGCAGAAGATAGTAAAAACACACTAAAAATATTCTGGTAAAAACATTTTAGCTTTCACTGAAATTTTACAGAAAATTAGGATGATAACTTTTTAATTCCTAAAAAGCAAACACTGAAGAAGAATCTCTACTAAATAATATTTTTGGAGGGCTTGCAGGATTTCACTTCAAGATTTTTCAATGTTTTAAGAAAAAAAATCTTACCAGAAAAAAAAAAAAAAAAAAAAAAAGGAGAAAATACCACTTCCTGGGGAATCTCATCATTTTTTGTAGAAAGTAGAATATGATCAGCAAGCACCACATATTTAACAGAAATGAGAGTGGAAATTTCTTTTTCAAAGTATTCTATATTACTCTCTTTAGACAGAAATAGCATTTGTCTAAAGCAATTAAATATATCATTTAAATTGTAATATCAAAAACTTTCCTGGAGTTTTAATGTTCTGGAACCTTTCCCCCACTGAAAACCTTCTTATATAGCTCAATGCATTACTGTCAAGGGATTGTAGGAAATAGGTCAGTAATAATAGGTTCAAAGAAATGTTCTAGATAATTTTTAAAAATTAGTCACTTGATACTTGATTTAAATATAGGCTTGCAAATATCCAGATACTGAGAAAACCTTTTTGCCCACACAACCGCTGATATTGTAGAAATACAACCAAGGATACTAGAGAGGTAGGTTTAAAATACGCCTGAAGCTACAGAAGATAAAGCCTAATTCTGAAGAGATACAGATGCAGACCCTTCCATTCCTCAAAAAGAAAAGCAAAAGCCTCTGTAATGTGTCACAGGTAAAGTAATTACATGATGAAAGGGAGACACAAAAATAAAGCGATTACCTTTAGCAAGGAAGAAGGGAGGGGGCCCTGCAGGGACAGATGGGGAGGAAGGGGACAGACTTTTTTAGGATTTAGAGGCAAAAATAAGCTGATACACTTCCTGAATGAAACAAGCTACAACTACAAATGGGGACTAACAGTATCCCACTTGCAGCCCGAGGACAAGAGGCCCTTTCTGGAAACAATACCCTAAACACGATTTGTACTTAAACCTTCCCCCTTTTACTGGGCCTCTATCGCTCTCCCTTTAAAACATGGTGTCACGCAAACAAGACAAAGAGGAAAGAGGAAGGAATCTAGGCCCAAAATGTAGACACAGGTAAAAATCTGGAAGCTATTCCTTTGCTCCGTTGCTTTTCAAGAAATCTTTAGAATAAGAGTTGGAGCTGGAGAGTTCAAAACTACATACGAAACTACAAGTTAAGAGAAAAGGATAATGTCATAAAAATTTACTTTAACATTAGTACTTGTTTTTTTTTTCTTAAGTATAGTTGATTTACAATGTTGTGTAAATTTCTGCTGTACAGCCAAACAATTCAGTTATACATACACATACATTCTTTGTTTAAATATTCTTTTCCATTATGGTTTACCATGGGATACTGAATATAGTTCTCTGTGCTGTACAGGAGGACCTTGTTGTTTATCCATTCAATATATTTAACACTAGTACTTAAATGCTAGTTAATAATTATGAAACACAGTGCCTGCCGCTAAAAACACAGACTATGTTTTCTAACAAAAACACTAGAAAAACCACTAACAAAGTATCCTCTTTCTCCATCTTTCTCCCCTTTATTTCTACATGCACAACATTCACACAAACTTCATACATAAGAAATTATGTATCTTTATGTATGTCAAAGATAGCTTCAAAGACCAATGAACCGAATGAAACCCATGAAGTACAGAAAGGAAATTTTGAAAGACTATTTCTTTTTTTCCCTGACATTTGATTTTTATGTCTCAATTCATTCTCCACGCTGACATTTCCAAACTTCCTTGTTCTTCTCATCAAGACACACTGTTTTCATTTACTTCATTTGTCTCTGCTCTGATTCCAGAGGAGATAACATTTCTATACTGCCAGACATAAATTTAAAGTCATCCAGAAATATAACCTAACAGACACTGTACTTACATAATGGCAAATGTTATGTTATCTCATAAACCAAATGTCCAAGTAACTAAAAATTTATGAGTAAACTAAATGAAAAGACATTTCTCATCAAATAACACAGAGATATGTAAAAGTGAAGCGGAAATACAATGTTTTAGGATGCATACTTCTGCTAAATTATATAATGTCATTTCCTATTTTATGAAAATGTTAAAAAGACTCTGACCCTTGAAAATGGAACTTTTCAAGAATTATGGAAAATCCGAAGCCACTCACCTCTATGAGTCTATCTCCCGCCTTCAGTCGGCCATCTTGGATGGCAGCCCCTCGTGGGAGGATGTTTTTCACATAAATTGGAGCTGAGCCACCTATTGTCACATCCCGGGAAGTGATGCTGAATCCCAAACCTTCTGTACCTGAATATATAACAGAAAAAAAAAAAGAGGTAAACAAAATGAGATATCTTGAATTTCACAAGTATATCATACATGAAGGATCTGTTGTTATTCTCTACCTCAACTTGACATTTTGTTAACTTTCACACTGACCTACACATTTAATACTTTAAAAGTTGTAAGATTTTTCAACATAGACTAAATTATGGAAGGTTTAAATGGTATATATATCAAAATTCATTAGTCTAAGAAAAAACGGGAACCTAGTCAGACAGATGAAAATAATATACAAACATGCCTGCTGAATGTTTTTAAATTTGTCTAAATACTTGCTCAATAAAGGAAGAATAAAGAGATATGTAAAGGTGAAAAATCTACAGAATTCATTAATTTGATGCAGCACTCGCTAAAAAACAGGGTATGAATCTCTAAGTAAACAAATATGGGCAAATAAACATGAATAAAAATGTGGGTTAAAGAAGAAACAAAGTAGAAATGATGAAAACACAGTACATGTAACAAAAACCTACTGCAAATATTCTCAAATTCAAACAAAACATTCATTTACTTCAAGTCTGAAATCACTTTAATGTGCCTGGGCTGTTAATTTCTTAAGTCTTCTGTGAAGACTTGAATGGCATATTGTCTATATGAAATTCTCCTACTTATTCTGCTGGGACTTTTCCATATGTTTCTCTGCTTTCATGAAACTCTAATGACTTGCAATAACATTTATTAAGGAAGAATTCTAAATTATTCTCCTTTCGCAATATTAATTTCTACGAACTACAAAGACTGATTGTTATATGAGACAAAACACTATTAAATTATCAGCAATAACCCCTAAATCTGTACGCCAAAAGTTCAGGCAATGACCTTTCCAAGAAAGATAAATAGATATCAATTTTCATTTAGCAAAGCCAACAAAACACTTTGCACTGACTGAAATAGATCACTGACCTGCTCCTCTGACTTTATTAAAAAGCTAATTTCTACCAAAGAGCAGGGTATTTGAGAATGCCACAATGACAATAAATATTAAGAAATCATAATTACGGAAGCAGGTACATAGGGGCTCTTCTATTTCGACATGTTATGTGACATAGTTCCAAAATTATGCCAAAGAATCATTATAACAAAGGCTTTCTTAGTCCTTAGCTTTGACCTCAGTTTATGAAGAGCTTCTGTCATTCAAATCGTGTCAGTTCGCTTTGAACTGAATTTAAAGTTTAACACTGACAAACCCTACATTTTTTATGTTTTTTTTTTTTTTTTTTTTCCGGTATGCGGGCCTCTCACTGTTGTGGCCTCTCCCGTTGCGGAGCACAGGCTCCGGACGTGCAGGCTCAGCGGCCATGGCTCACGGGCCCAGCTGCTCCGCGGCATGTGGGATCTTCCCAGACCGGGGCACGAACTCGTGTCCCCTGCATCGGCAGGCGGACTCTCAACCACTGCGCCACCAGGGAAGCCCCATTTTTGATGTATTTCATTAAGAAATGTTAAATGTAACAATAATAGCTGGAAAAACATTGCCTGTTAACTACAATGAAAACTTTCATACAATCATTAAAACATCTGTATTTAGTACTAATCACAGACAATGAGCATTCTTTGTCACTTTTATTTATAGTGAACATTATTTTTTTGATATTTGTAAGCACTGGCAGAAAGCACAGGCAGTTTCCACCTTTTGCCATACATTCTCATAGTTAATAAATTAAAATCAGGACAGATCCATGACGCTCTGTATCAGTTATGTAACTCAAGGTCAGAAAAATGTTTAAAAGAAAACTATTATTTCTATTTTTATGTTGATTGAGCATAATCTTTCTAAGTTAACTTCTGTAACATGTAATCATATATTTTTAAATGCTACCAAAATAAAACTATTGATTTCTGCATTCAAAAGAGTGATTCTTTTAATGGCAAATAAAATTTCACTTCATTTAAAAAGTTCATATTACATCATAAGGTGTTAACATATAGTAATTGTATGGAAAACTGTAATTAAACAACGAATACGCCTATATCAGAGTAAAAAGGCAAAGCTATTTATGAACTAAAATCTTTATGACAATGGAAAATAGTCTTCCTTTTTTGAAAGATCCCAAGCAGAATTTTATGTTTTATACAACTCTCTTTGTGTTTCTTGATATGCTTTTGCTTAAAAACCATGTCCTTTCATTTGAGTGTAGAAAAAGGAAGAAAGAGAATCTGATATTCCTCTCACTTATGCATTAACAGGGCTAAAAGGGGTTTAAGCTGATGTGATTTTGTATCTGTAAGCGGTTTCAAAAGTGGAGTGAGGTTGTCAATTCCTGATCAGGTCAACCAAGTATCTGGAGCTTAAACAGCCAGTAACCAGAAAGAAGGCATTTGTGGTTCACATAAAGGTCAATGAAAGAGTATGATTTAGAAAGGAAATAGGAATCTCAGAGTTTACAGAGTTGTAAGCTCTACCCCGAATGGAAAGAAGAACGGTCTCAACGTCAGGACACAGAAAAGCTTCCAGTAAGAATCTGCTGCTGGTGGCCACATGACTTGAGGAAATCACTCAGCCTCTCTTGGGTTCATTTCCAACTATCTGTAGTTGGTTGAGCTCATAAAAGGAGAAATATTCTTTATAATGACACCAATTTCAAGGACATGATTTAAAAATATATATATAAAAATGCTCAGCTAAAAGAGATGATAATAGCAAAAGTATATCTCAGTGCCTGGAGGGGACGGTGACTGGGAATGAGAAAGTCAAGCCTAGGAGCCTGACCTGAGTCATCAGGGATGCCAGCACAGAAATGAATGCCTCCTGTACACAAGGATGCACCGTCTAAGGGTGGGGGATCCTTAAATAAACACACTGATGTAAGGCAGAGGTAATAAAGTATTAGCAAGGCCCATTCCGATTCCCCTTGTCACCTTGAGGAAGGGAAGAATGTGATATTCTGGAAGAGCAGGAGACAAGGGGTCAGTGGCCTTGCTTCTCAGCATTTCACAGGGAACCACCAACAGCTTCAAAGGAGTCAATTCCCTTCCTGTCACCAAAGGACGGGCTGAACTGGAGGAAGGACTTCTAACGTCCTCTAGGGGGGGCTGTATGTGGACATCAAGTGGGGCACTCAAAACAGTCAGAGCCTCCCTGTTGCTTTGGGTTTGATGGTAACATCCTGAAACCCATTTCCTATGTTGCCAAAAATTTTATGGCAGTCGTAGCTGCTACTTTTTTCATAGAAACGTAACGTCTAAGGCCTATCCTCTGATCTTCTACGTGTTAATTTTTACACAGGAAAGTGCATCTGAAAAGCATAAAAAAATATACAACTGTAAATGCTTTTTTACAAAGATGTATCAGTTCTTTTGTTTTTTTTTTATTTTTTTATTTTTTGCAGTACGTGGGCCTCTCACTGTTGTGGCCTCTCCCGTTGCGGAGCACAGGCTCCGGACACGCAGGCTCAGCGGCCATGGCTCACGGGCCCAGCTGCTCCGCGGCATGTGGGATCTTCCCGGACCGGGGCACGAACCCGTGTCCCCTGCATCGGCAGGCGGACTCTCAACCACTGCGCCACCAGGGAAGCCCTGTATCAGTTCTTAATAATGAGATAAGACTCAGGATGCTTTGGGTTAGTTGGTTGATTTTGAAAATAAATTCCGTGAAAAACGGGAAGACAGGTCATACCTTTCTTAAGCTGGATGTTAAGCTTCTTGCCTACTTTTTTGGTGTTGTAACCACTGCTGGGACTGAACACGTGGTGTACGGCTGGGCCCGGAGCAGCGGGAGGCTTTCCCGAGGGCTGTGCGCTCTGAGGTAGGAGTCGGGGGTGAGGGTCTGCGTGCTCGGGCAGGGGGTTCGGCCGGGGCACCCTCGGCAGAGCCTGCGGCCCTGCACTGTTCACACTCCTGTGATCCACATGCTGGCTGTCGGGGCTGAAGCGGCTCGAATAGTAATTGTTCCTCTCGCTTTGGGACAGTTGTTCGTACTGCTCTTTATTTGCTGCGGGAACCACATGGAACCAAATGATGGATGTCCGCATGGCTTGGCGAAACATATGTTGTGCTCTGGGTTTGAGAAAGAATGGAAACTTAGCAAATGAAGACTGGCAGACTCGAAGATGTTATGAGCTTAATTAAGTATACTCATTAAGCAACAAGGACGGACAGACTTTGTTGAAACTGAAAACAAAATTCTCATAACACATTTATCAATCGGGTTTGCAAGCTCTGATAGCAGCAGGGCTGTGTCTCCAAATATAAATTTCTCATTCTCTAGATAAAAATGACAAGGTTATGTACAACTACAGGCAAAATACCAGTGTTTTGGTATGCCCTCCACAAAATACCCTCCACTGTAAATCATTCAATCATACTGCAGTTTTAAGCACAACAGGTATTATCATTTCAATATTAAGAGAAATTAAATATAACCTTCTCTCTACAACATTATCCAATACGACTTTTAAAAATCATACAGTATCTCCTTACAAGGAGACCAGTCGAGTTTTTAAAAAAATATATTTATAAGTATACTTAGAAAACTTTAGAAAGTGACTATCCATTATTTATCAGAAAAGTTAATCCCAGTTTGTGCACGCAAAAATCTCAGGAATG